GACAGAATCACAAACTACAGTAAAATAGCTGCTCAAAAGGATCAACTTAGGCCTGAAGCTAATATTTGATTTTGAAATATGGCTTTTTATCAAGCTGTTATGAGACGAGGAAAAGAATACAAGTGAAGAAAATGAGAAATGTAAGATGGCAATATAAAGCAATTGAAAAAGAATTTGATACGAAGTATTGCCTTTTTTGCTTCATTAAGTCTCCATTCTGAATACATACAAGAAAACTGAGCTTGTCTGCAGTGGGCAGTAAAATGCAATTGAATTGCGAAGGATATATATGTCTGATGCTTCAGTTAAATTAGGTTTTATTCAGCATCTAATAAACTTCCATTTAACATTTATGGGGTCTGTGAGGTACTTTACCATGCTGTTATCTTCATGTACAATCATTCATACATTGAAAAAGAAAGTAAATGGCATATCTGGGTTTTTTTGTTTGTTTTTGAAATTGGGATTTAATAGTAACAGCGCAAACTATTAATTCTGAATATGTAAATAAGTGCTGTTGTGATGTCAGTAGCAATTTCTGAGCAGATAAGATAAGCAGGATGTTCAGGTCTACGTGTGGCACCAAACCAGAGCCCTGGTAAATGTCTGCCTTATGCTGAAAACACACTGATGTGGAAAATGTCATTAAAGAAGTGACATGAATGCTTAACAGCAGCCTCATGGCTAAGGGGGTTTAATGACTCATTATGTCATTTGCCTTGGATATTTTTTTTTCTTTTTTAACCCAGAGAGTAAATTGGTGAGAATCTCATAGAGAACGTTAGAAATGTATGCAACAGTAATATTTAGTCAAATGTTAATCAGTTCTACTAGCTGATTCTCCATGACTGCAGAGCAATAGGCCTTGCTCAGTCCTGTGGTTTAGAAAGAAAGCATCCTTTTCATTATCAGCTGGGTTTATTGTCCTTTAACAGTAGAAAGTATTTAATGAATACCATTTAACCTTTATCTGCATAACTGTAGTAGTCTTCCATACAGATA